TGTGTGTGTGTGTGTGTGTGTGTGTGTGTGTGTGTGTGTGGTGTGTGTGTGTGTGTGTGTGTGTGTGTGTGTGTGTGTTGTGTTGTGTGTGTGTTGTGTGTGTGTGTTGTGTGTGTGTGTGTGTGTGTGTGGGTGTGTGTGTTGTGTGTGTGTGTGTGTGTTGTGTGTGTGTGTGTGTGTGTGTGTGTGTGTGTGTGTGATGTGTGTGTGTTGTGTGTGTGTGTGTGTGTGTGTGTGTGTGTGTGGGGTCAAACGTGGTAGACGGGAAAAGGCCCACTGTCTGTCTTTCTCACGCACATGCAGAACATCCTGAATGTAAATGAACATGTTCTTGTTGTTTTTCAACCAACGTTAATAATACTTCTGTTAAAAACAACAAAAATACACATTTTGTAATAAGAATATACAATAATTAAACATATCACAAGGACTTGGTTAAAAGGTGATAACTTTATACATTTAAATGATAAAAAGATCCGGTTAATCATATTTTTATGACTATCTGACAATGGTTGTGAATAATGGGTTAGATATAGAACATTATTTGTTTTATAATTAATATTATTTTCTATTATTATTTTACAGAAAATTAATGTGTATTAAGTATGACAGAGTATTTATGTTGTATGAGTTATATGTCAAGTATTTTAATTGTATTTCAATCAGGAGAGACGGTTTTGATACACAAAGGAATTTAATGGAGTTTGGGCGATTAGGCCCCGTTGTGCAGGAGTATCATTCGGGAGGGGAGAACCGATGCGATGAAACCCCCCGGGGTCTAGACACTGGTGGTGGTGAATGGATGGTTGGGTTCGGTCTGAAGGGGAGGGGCTTAGCTTGACCCTGGTGGTGGTGGATGGATAGTTTGGGTTCGGTCTGAAGGGGAGTGGCTTAGCTTGACCCTGGTGGTGGTGAATGGATGGTTGGGTTCGGTCTGAAGGGGAGTGGCTTAGCTTAACCCTGGTGGTGGTGAATGGATGGTTGGGTTCGGTCTGAAGGGGAGGGGCTTAGCTTGACCCTGGTGGTGGTGAATGGATGGTTGGGTTCGGTCTGAAGGGGAGGGGCTTAGCTTGACCCTGGTGGTGGTGGATGGATAGTTTGGGTTCGGTCTGAAGGGGAGTGGCTTAGCTTGACCCTGGTGGTGGTGGATGGATAGTTTGGGTTCGGTCTGAAGGGGAGGGGCTTAGCTTGACCCTGGTGGTGGTGGATGGATAGTTTGGGTTCGGTCTGAAGGGGAGGGGCTTAGCTTGACCCTGGATTCAGAGGGACAGGAGGTGAAAAGGGGTGGAGGAGGGTTGCGTCGAGTCACCTGCAATGACAGCTGTCAGAGGGGAGAGCAGATTTAAAAGGGTTAGCAGAGCGCTATGATAGGCTTGTGGGAATAGAGCGAAGTGATTGGTTAAGCTGGGGAGTGACGCCCCCGATCACTTATTGAGAGGAGAGAGAGTATAACATGGAAATAGTAAATGAATGAGTAAAGACGGTCTTCCTGGTTGAACTTGCGCTGAGCTTCATTTTCATATATATTTGTTTGTAAAAAACTGTTTTTATATGTTAGTGAAAATATTAAAAATATATACTTTTGGTTCTGTTTTCCAGCAGTGCAAAAATAACTATCTTGAAAGATGATCAGGCTGTAGATAATACACAACTGTTTTCTGTCTTTTGCAAAATGTGACTTGTTTTTATTGAAAGTGAAATCTAAACAGTTTTATTTTCAAACACACAGATTTGCATTTGGACATTAAACACCTGATCTAACCAGAACGTCTCATACAAAGACAAAGGAGAATAATCACAGAAAATGGCTAGACTAGATTAAATTGCCACTAAACATTACTATTTTGAATATTTTGGCATAATTTTAAACTGCATAATTTTATACAGTCGCTTGAATAACTGAGTAGGAATCAACATTTGAAGCTTCATACTAATAGAACATGTTAATAATGTGTGCATGCAGGAGGTTTTTTAATACATCAATTATCTTGACTTCAGCTTCAAGAGGGCTGTCAAGTTTTCAAGTCCAATGAAACATGGGATACTGGTGTATTTCATTTTAAGAGCATGGATGTAGCTCTGAAAACAATACTTCTTACTATTTAATTTAATACATTTTCAAAAATATAGAAATAATGCATTCAACTAATAACCGGTTGTCTTTAAGCCTTAAATAGAAAATCACACACGGACTGCAATATCCAAGCTCGAGAAAGACTGGATCCTACATTTCCCATGATGCATCTCTGATGGTTATTTCATTTGAATCTTCCTGCTCATGTCTTGCTGACTTTCTGAAACGAGCTTTCTGTTAAAAAAAAAAAGCTCTCTCTGCAAATCAAACAACTCTGGGTCGAGAAAGTTGCGCCTCCTAACCAACCATTTTGTTAAGGTCGTGGCCTTTCAGCGCCGGGCGGGGTCAGTCACAGGAGGGCATCATACACACACACACACACACACACACACACACACACACACACACACACACATGCATTCTGAAACCACTAACTGTCAAAGTGAGAGTTAAAAGTTTGAACCCTATCAACGGCAAACACAAAAAACAATCAACTGTCACTCTCCTCCGCTCTATACTGTCACTGAACACACACACACACACACACACACACACACACACACACACACACGCACACGCACACACACACACACAGGTACTTTCTCTCCTCTCTCTCTCGCCCACCACAGCCGTGTCTGATGTGGTCTCTCTCACCTCATGTAACCATGTCTTCCTCTTTTCTCTCCACCACCTTCATCTTTGTCTTTTTATCTTCTCTTTCTTCTTTCTTTTGTGACACACCGTCTTCATCTTCAATCTATTATCTTCTCTACATGCTCTCCTTTCTTTTTCCTTTTCTCATTGAACTTACATATTTCCTCCTTAACCATGTATTCATTTCTCTCTCTCCATTATAATGTCTTCTTCTTATGTTTTCTATGCTGTCTTTTGACAACAGTTTGTTATTCTTCAACATTTCTTCCTCCCAATGTTACTTTTTCTACTTTTAAAATATGAACTAGAAGCACAGAGAACGGTGTCATATCCCACCATGTTAACAAATGTTAAACAAACACATATTTGGCACAAACGTCATCCGTCAAACCAGTTTAATGAAAATCAGAACAGTAGTTTTTATGATCCTGATGCATGATGCAACATGCAGGAGTTCAACTGTTTAAAGTGGACCTATCATGCTATATTTGAATAATATAGTGTAGGACCATACCTATATAAGGCATATTTATACTTTTTTTTTTTTAAATACCAAACAGATCATGCATTTTAGCCATGCCTCATTTCGCTCAATTTGACATTTTTTAGATCTGTTTTAGCAAGGGCAGATTCAGTGAGAACAGCACCACCTACAGGCCTGGCATATGTACTACATCGTCTCCGGCGCTTTCGAACGCCAATGGCCGTGGCTGTCTCCTCCTGATTGGTGGAGTTGGCCCAATAGCCGTAGCGCCACCGTCCTGACGTCAGGACAGTGTTCAAATCTGGATCAGTTTTTATCAGATCCGTTGCAGCCCCTTTTTTAGAGATTTGGGTATGGAGGAAAATAGAGAGGGTTGTGTTTTCTGACACTTGGTGAGTTCCCTGGAACACCGGGGACACATATTCATGTATAAAAGACGTACAAAAGTGCATTTTGCATGATAGGTCCCCTTTAAGTTAGAAGTAAGCCAGTTAAAACAAATATATATATATTGGAACAAGACCCCAATTGCTGTAGATTAAAAAACCTGTTTGAAAGATATTGAAGCGACTGTTATTTTGTATATATTGATTGTTGTGTCTTAATGTGTGCATGTGTATAAATGTGTCTGTTGATTGTGTATATATAGGTATACACATGTTTTTATATATATTTGTGTTTTTGTATTCGGGATTGTGGGAAACGGTATTTCGATCTCTCTGTCTGTACACACAAACTGGAAGATTGACAATAAAGTTGACTTTGACTTTGAAATGTAATGTAAGAATACCCTGCTATTATCAGATCAGTTATCCCTCCCTGTCGTGGCGTTTTAATCTGTTTCTACATTTAATATCCACTTTCCTCTATCGGGGGTTGTGGGTTATGACGCGCTTCTCTTTGCTTCGGTCAAAAGACTTTACCGCTTCCCGTCTGATCACACACTCAGCTGTGAACCAATGTCATGCCATATATAGGCATATAGACATGCACGTCATACCTGGCAGCTCACATTTGACAACAAATAAGTAAGGCTTAAATCAAAGTCAACTTTATTGTCAATCGAAATACAGTTTCCCACAATCCTGAATACAAAAATACAAATATATATAAAAATATGTGTGCAAATATGTATATATACACAATCAAAGAAACATTTTTACACAATATATACAAAATAACAGTCACTTCAATATCTTGAGAATGTGCATTAGTGCAAGATTGTCCATAGCAGCGTAAAAACTAACATCTTTTAAACCGTAGTGTCACTCACAAAAATAAATAGTTAAAGGTAGGGTATGTCATTTTGGAGAAACCAGCTCGAGATCACTAGAATTTGAAAATACACAACCGGAGAAAATCTGCCACTTCCTTACAGAGCCCCTCCTCCAACACACACGAACGCGCACATGACCAATGAGGGCACGAGATAAGTTTGTGCACAGATGGAAGGCTGACAGGCAGGTAGGCCATCCAGTTATTTTAGCCGGGCCGGCTCAGATGATTGGTCGTGCTTTTTACAGTATTACGGCTTCCACAGATGATATTTTTATGTATTTATTGTCAAAGCACTTCAGATATTTATTGCTATCGGGATGTTAAGAGCATTCCATGGAATATAACAAAAAGTGTATCTCGAGCCGGTTTCTCAAACTTACCTACCCCACCTTTAAGAGTTGACTCTAAATCCTTATATTATGAAGCCAAACATTCAAACCATAATGGTGAAAGGAAAATGTCTCTAACCCTCCCTCCCCTCCCTCCTCCCTCCTCTCCCCTCTCCTCCAGGCGGGCCGAAGCGCTTCCAGGTGGTGATCCACGGCATCGAGCCGCTGCTGGAGACGCCTCTGCAGTGGCTCAGCGAACACCTCAGCCACCCCGACAGCTTCCTGCACATCTGCGTCATCCCCGTGCCCTCGGACTGAGGCCCCGCCCCCCCCCAACACCTCGCTGTCACCGTGACAACAGACCAACCCGACCCAGGCCGGCTCGGTAACCGCGGCGCCGGCGCTAAAACGTCGGGGAAACTCTTAAAAGGAGAAGGAAGCGTATTGATAGAGATGAACAAAAGGATCAGGAGGAGGGATTTAACAAGCCTCCTTTTTCATCTTGCCGTCTATTTATATTTCTACCACGAAGATCTTCTCTCCCTCCTCTGCTCCCGAAAGAAAGACATTTGTTTAGGTGGAGAGGCGCTGAGGATTCCTCCTTTTTCTACTCACTTCTTCTCCTCCTCTCCCACCAAACCCTAGGGAGGAGAGGAGGGGGACAGATCCCTCGTGTCCTTCATCCATCCTGCCACACATCTTTCTCCTTGTCACAAATCCTCTCCTTCTGAAGCTGCCCCCCCCCCCCCCCCCCGCCCTCCCCTCTGCAGAAACACCTCTGGACACAAAGTTTACATCACAACCTGCGAACGTTATCGCCATCTACAAAAAAAAATCTCTCCAGGAACTTCTGGTGCTTTGTGTTTGACTTTGAACAGAGGATTTTTCTTTTTGTCGGATGCTTGTGTGCACTAACGCTTGACGAAGTGAGAGGGACGGACACTTTGGGTTTCTCTCCACTGATCCCAGAACACTTGTTGCCACCGTATTTTTAAGTTATTTGATGAAGCAATTTAACAAGCAGACACGTGTCCTCATCTGGTACGCATCCATAATTAGCATTACATTGCAGCTTTAACAAGAAAACTACTTTTCAATGTATAATTATTTTGTTCATTTCACCTTTAAAAGAAACATTCAAACTTATTTTCATAGCTGGAATAAACAAATAAATGTATACGTGCTCCTCAATGGGCGATGGGATCTGATACCATGAAAGAAGAAAGGGATTAACGATAAATGACATGTTGTTCTTTGATTTTAACTTGTTGTTTTTGCAGAAGACAGATGGGTGAACTTGATTTTTCCGCAGGGTGTCTTATGAGAGCCAGCTATTTTTATGGAGCTAAAAACAAAAAGGGGGTCATGGGAAAAAAATCCACACGTGTTTTCAATAGCAGGTGTTGATTTCTGTCCGTCAATACAAACACAGTTTAGCGGTTTTACTGTCTGTTTTTGTCAGGCTTGGCTCGAGCCTCTTTGTCTGCAGCCAAACTTAAACGAGCATCTGGTTTTCGTTTCGTTTTAAGAACTCTGCGTCGATAATGAGACAGCAGGAAGGATTAGCGCTAAGTCTGCAGGCTGTCGGGGTCCACGGTGGTTCGACATATGCTTTCGTTGGCACATTTCTGTTTTGTTGTTGGAAAAAAAAATGGCAAAAGAAGACATGACTTTTGGCAGGACATCACGAGGACCGCCCAGATCGGATGACTTCGCTGGATGTTAAAACCATAACCAATAAATCACTGTATGTCTCGTCATCTCGGGTTTTGTTTTTTTACATGTCTTCATACTGAAATAAAATATGACTCAAAGAATTCAACTGTTAACCGGAAATTACTTCAAATAAAAGTTTATTCAATCA